ACCTTGTGTTCAGCCGTTGTGTTCAATCCAGAGTGTTGGCCAAAAGCAGCGATCGTTGTAACAGCACTATTCTCTTACTTGTCTGATAGCGGGCTTGCTTACGTGCTCTTGTATGTCCCAGTAGTCATTGGACGCCCTATCAGAATTATAGCTAGTTGTTTCGCCCGAATCCTGAGATGCTGCTTAAGTAAAGCACTACACCCGACAGGATTGAGAAACAACCGACTACGTCAAGGTCGAAGAAGAGACATAGCTGAGTTACTTGCAATTGTAACACTAGGATGGGTTGCGCTTACAGCAAAAGGGTGTCAAGAGGTGGACATATACAGTCATCGGTCAACGATTTGCACTGAAACAGAGGCCAACCAAGTGTGCAAGGTGCGCTTGTCCGAGATCTTAAAAATAAATCCGTTTAAACAGGAGGCTTGCTTCAAGTTAATAAGGAATGATACAACAGTTCATGAGATACGCACCGTTCGGAAAAACCTTGTTCTGACGTGCGAAAAGGAAACGGAAACATTCACTCGTGATGTAAAACTCCGTGTCGTTAGCAGTAAGCGATGTTCCTCTAACGCCGGACTGTGCCGGAACGCCAAATGCGGGAATGTTAACCGCTCTGCACTGATCGCAGGCTTGCACGAAGGAAACGCCTTCCCGGGGGTAACCCTGTGCGTAGAATCGTGTGGTGGATTTGGTTGTGGGTGAGACTCAGGCCGTTTATTCTATCGAGTTTATGCGGTTCATACCTATCCTCAAGTTTACGAAATATTTTGATGTACGAGATGGGCAGAGGCGGCAAAGGTTAGAGTCGATCATTTGAACGCTTTAGAAGGAAGATCGAGATCATATTCCCTTTATATGCGCCCAAACGTACCTATCAAGTTGAACGAGTTTGAGCTCACGCTTACCTCTAGCACCGTGCCACCTATTCCACTTCTTAGTACATGGTTTGTGACAAATGGAGACGTAGCGGCGCTCTGGGATAGCAAGATCCAATCACTATTGCTATGCCCTAAGAGAACGTCCGCGGAAAACCTCTGGTGTGACATCAGTGACGATTGTCAGTGTTATCCTGCTGTGATAAAAGTTAACTGCAGGTGCAAACAAGTAAATATTTCAGCGTGGTTTACGAGCTTGCAATATCATCTACCAATAACCACACCTTCCGCAATATTTCGGAAGCGCAGATGGGGTACAAGCCAAAATTCATACAATGACAACTTCAGAAATCACACTATCATCAGAGGACGAACTAGAAACCACCATAGTTGTTCAGGACAATGTGTGTAACATAGAGGACACAGAATTGTCAGGGAGCTACAATTGCACAAAGGGGGCTATAGCTCAGATCGTATGCACGGCGCCTAAGCCGAGCTAGGCAGAAACAACATGCGACAGCTCAAGCTTCACTGTTCTGTGCGATGAGAAAGGCATTGCATCAAGTCTGAGGTTTAACCTTAACAGAGCGATAATCTTTCTGAAGTGTTCCGTCTCTTGTGGAAAGAATATTTCTAGTTTTGAACTTAGCGGAATATTGAAATTCGCGCATACCACTCACGGTTTACTGAGCGCACTAATAAAGAGAACGGGGAGGACAGCTCAAACCTACAGTGGCCTGATTTTTCGACGTATTCACTCACTGCTACAAAATGGTCGTTTCGGCAATTTTCTTGGTCGGGATATTGGTTCTCGGTACCTATATTTTTATATCGACCTGTGGATTACGTTGCTTGTGGTTCACTTTCAACCTACTCTCAAGATTACCACGATGGATCTTCTGCGGATTTTTTGGCCTCCTCTGGAAAGGCGGGACAAGCTTAACACGATCAAGGCATGAAAAGCATCTCTAATTTCGAGAAAAGAACGTAGTGGCTTGGGTAGTATTACACAAGTAGATTAGCTTCACAAGAGAACCACTTCACTTTTGTATTCATCTCAATGTTTTTATTTATCAATTTATAGATGCTCCGATCCTTTCGATTTCAGCAGACCTAATACCGAAGGAAACCTCCTCAATCTCGTCATCTTACTTCACGATCCAGATCCGACGGAGCGACACGTGGAAAAAGACCTAGAGACAGTCCTCAATGCATTCCACGATGAAATTGGCAGGGCAAGAGCAATTAGAACCCAGTGGCAATGTTTGAGCGTTGACGGTTCATTTCTTGAAACGTCCCCGACTCAAAAGCTTGTAGACGTTAGTAGATGTCTATACACTGCGTTAGTCAGTAGGGAGACCATTCTTCGAATGGGAACTCGATACGTCCTCTCGGACCTCATCTATCATCACCAGGTTCAACGGGGGAGGCTCTCGCAGGGAAGGAGAGATGAGTGGTTACGTGCGGCACATGAGCATGATGTTCGCAGCAAACAAGTGTCGGCGTTAACAGAAGAATATGCACGGCGCATGGAGACGACTATCATAGAGATGAGGACACTAGAAGAAGATGCAGAAGAGTCACTGTGCGGGATCAGGAAAATCGGGACTCCTACGTGGTTTACGACCTTCCTCGAGAAGCTGAGCATAAGAACGAAGATCTCGGGTCGGATCCGGAGTCCAAATATCTGAACTTCGAGATATGATAGACGCTCAAGTAAAGGAAATCAGCCAGTTGAAAGAGCAACTTGAAGCCTTAACTATGAACCATAGCCAAGGAAAACCAACCGCTGTCGAGAAAAGTCACGACGACGTATCCCAAGTTAGCCACCCGGAAGAAAACGAAGACGACTACTGGGAAAGAATGGTAGGCTAAGTGGCGGACCCAGAAGTACCAATGGTACCCGCTAAAGACGAAGAAGACGACAGCGGTCCGAGCCGCAAATGTCAAAGAGAGGAAGAGAACGAGCAGCCTCACGATGGTGACAAGTCGTTAGTGTGGCTAGAAAAGAAGCAATTACTCACTCGTATATTGCAAGAGTATGAACGTTTCCCCTTCAGACGTATTGGAGAAACCTCATACGGCATCGGCGTCACGATCACGTGCAGTTTCTGCAATGCTTGGAAGGCACTACAGCGATTCCTGCCCTCACGTCGTCGATGGAGACGAACGTCTTCATATTATCCTGAGGAAGGGTCTCTGCAAAAGTTGCCTGCTCAATTGTTCAAGTATCTTCGAATGCAAAGGATCCGGATGTGCCTGTTGATATTGTGGAAAGTTGATGGCACAGCTTTTGCCTATTTGCTACCAAGGGACCCAAGAGGGCATCATCGAGCCGTTTGTAATGTGCCCGATCGAAGGGATGAAGCTATTTCGAAAATTCGTCAGCTGCAGACGGAGCTCTTCGAGATGAGTCGACATGGAGATCCGACATGGGACCGAGAGGACGATAACGAGGAGGGGGAGTGACGTCACGACGACGTCCTAGACCGCGCATTTACCATAGAAGCACCTTTCCACGTACTAAAAGATATCTTTAAGGCTGATAAAATTCTGAGATTACTGTAATCCGTAGGATAGCCGGCAATTGCTGGCTACTTGCCAGTAATTGCAATTAGGGCGCAACAATGAAATCGTTTCATGTTTTGGAAGGTAGAAGGAAAAAATGTGGAAATCCAGTTGTAGTCAGCATCACCGCATGATTGCTTCAAAGGACCGAGTTCAAATACTCCCTGTGGTCCCAAAACGATCACGAATGCCTCCGCAGCCAATCACGGCTGGCAAGTGGGCGGTCCCGAAAAATTTCCAACCACACCCATTTTGAGGAGTTTACGCCCTTTTTGCGGCTTTTCCCAGGTGAGTTTTCTTTATAACTACACTTCATATGTTCTCCATTAGGGCCTGTGCATCCTTTAGTGGCATTAGTATTGAAAGCAGATTCTTGCTCAGGGGCCAGCACTCGCTGCCGTAGAGCATCGCAGGCCTTACCACTGTTCGGTACACCTTTCCTTTGAGCGTTCTGGAGCACCTTCGATCGCAGAGGATTCCAGTGGACTCCCTCCATTTCATCCATGCTGCGTTGATCCTTGCCTTGCCTGATCCACACTGCCATCGGCTGCCAGATCGCTTCCAAGGTATCGGAAGTTCTCCACTCTTTCGATGTTTCTTCAACGCGGTCCACAATCGACTCTGCGACCTTTTCAGAATTCAGGAACTTAGCTTTCCTTACTTCTCCATAGCTAAACGAAGTGATGGAGAAGCAAAGAAAAAATAACCCCGCCAATTGAACGTAGTTTTCGTTGAACTAAAGGAGGCGTTCGACTACTTTCTGCGAGCAGTACTTGGGAGAGCACTGAGAGAACGGAACGTCCCAAAATACCTTATTCCTTTGGTCGACAATATGTAATTTTACTGGTTTTTCAAGCATAAACCCGATAAGTTCTCGGACGAGTGTGACAATAAGGTTTTTTAATCAGAAAAAAATATCAAGAATAACAGCGATGTAAAAAAAAGCACGCACGACAAAAAGTTAAAGCAAGAGAACGAAGAGCGAGTGGGGAAGGAGGGATTATAGCGGCAGAAGATTTCTTCTTCTGCTTTCAAGGATCTTTTGAGGAAGACTCTTCTAAAAAACCCCCACAACCGCAGCTCCCACTTCCAGGGAATTGATTCTTAACCCTCCTTCTGGAGAGCGACCCTGCAAAGACAACGAAAATGAGCCCTCTCTTCTGAAGAGTTATCGGCGGCGACGAGGAGCGGAGAATATGAAAATTTAAAAACTAAGAGGCGCCCTTTCATGCGGTTTTTCCTTACCGCGCGCTCTCGCAGCTGCCTATCGATAGTAGGTCAGTTGCTTTGTCCTATGCCCCCTGTTACATCCCCGGGGCTCAGAAATAGCGGCCCTTGTACTTCACTATCTTTTTTTTTCTTCGTTTAGGTGCAAGGCGTACAAATAAATAAATATGTATATGTGTAATTTTTTACATTGGCATCATTTTCAACATAATTTTTCAACAACATTTGTTCACCCCTTTTTTACACTCGCAACTCAGTTATAACCGAACCTCTTTTTCGGCCAGTGCGCTTCTTGCGGATTCATTTTTCGCATTTGATAAGAAAATTCATTTTCATTACAAAACCTTTTTAGTAGTTCCTCGGTCTTACTCGCTTTTCAGCCGCAGGAGGCCCTCGACTGGCCCTGTATTTCCCAACACTTTCGTACACCCTCTTCGTTG